AGCGTTCTGTATTCAGTGCCATAAATATTTCTCGCATGCATGGAGTCTAAAAATCCTTATAGTTCAAATTACCTTTTAATTTGTAAAGTATAATTGATCTTTTCATCAATTATTATCCAACCCATACATGTATAATACTTTTGAGAAAAATGAAATACCTTGGAATAATTGCATAAAATAAACTTAAATAATAGACATAATATTTGTATATTTTAAATCAACTTAATCATAAATGGTATAATAGGAAAATTTATTTAGAATAACAAAAAATAAAATAAAAGAAAGTCCATTACTTCTTAATTAGTGAGAAACACTATTTACTTACCTAATGTATCACCTAGTTCCAAAAATTTCCTTTCCCCAGCTTCAAACAAGTTTTTTCTTTTTCTAACAACCCTATCAAATATAATAGAATTTTAACATATTTCTTACAAATTAAACAAACTTTCTTGCTATAGAAATATAACCATAATTAATTTAAACAAGTCAAAGTGCATTCTTCATCATCTTTTAAGTCTCTAAATTTGTCATATCATCTTAACCCAACTGATTACATTATTAAAATAGAATTCTCTTTTAGACTTCCTACAAACACTTAACATGCATTTACCTTTCAAATTACTCAATTAACTTCGAAGCCTTCAAATCTCTTGCCCATATAATTTCAAACACCAATATAAATTTAACATACTTTTTAACCCAAGTCTCATCGATAATCAATTTAGGTCCAAGAAAAACTAAGTCTAAGTTCATCTTCTTACACTATTCAGCATACCTAAATGATACATAAGTGAAATTATCTGTAAGAGATGTGTTCTAAAATTTAAGTTCCAGCTTGATTTAACTCTACCTACTCTCAGAAATACGCATCAATGGTAATAAGGAAAAGAATCACAATGTTTAGCAATATATACACCCTCAGGGTAATTGCAAGAATAGAAAATAAATGGGTTAAACTCCACTCAATCAGCAATGTTTGAACAGAGGAAGGAAGAAGAAGTCGACTGTGTACGCAGGGGAGTGAAGGAATTCAAGTTCTGACTTCTAGTAACAATCCCGGTTACCGGACGTCCACGCACGGAGAGAAACAAGGAGGAGGAAGAAGTCTCGAGTTCTCTGGAAACTCACAATGGCAGTGAAGATCAGCGACCCACCTGCACCCTCACCGGCAAACAAACTCAAAAAAAAAAAAAAACAAAGAAAGAAAGAAAGAAGGAAGAACAGAGGCGGAGGAGGATTCGACGAGAATAAACTGCGAAGGAGGAAGAATAGAGAATGGACGGAGGTTAGGTAAAGACTCTCTCTCTCTCTCTCACTCTATTTCTGCAACTCGTTAACCGACAAAGAAAAAGAGAATTGAAGTAAAATGGATCATGAGAAAAATTAGAGAACAAGGCCTTTGGGCCAAAGTTTGTTGAAAAAATTATAAAATATTCCTTCTATCTTATATTATAAAATATTTTTTTAAAAAATTTAATATTTTAAAATATAAGATATTTAATAAAATAAAATTTCATTAATAATATTTTTTAATATTATTATTTTTATATATTCTCTCTTTAATATTTTTTATTAATAAAGTATTAAATGAAATATAATTTAAAAAATTTATATTTTTATTTTTCAAAGAATATTATTAAAATATATTTAATAAATGTATTAATAAGTGAGATTTTATTTAAAAATTTTATAATTTAAAATAAAGAGAGTAATATTTATTATATTATTATTATTAGTATTAGTATTATTATTTTGGGGTTATTACAACAAAGCCAAAACATTCTGATATAAAGACTTCACTAAGCATTCGAAGACACGGAATGCGACTCGTGAAGTATGAGGCTAGAAAGGAAGGTACATTACCTGAATTATCAATGACTGCTGCAAAAGCTGCCAATGCCGACCGTGTGAGGAAATTGAATTCCTATTACTCACATTCCAATACAATTGATCAATGATGATGTCTGAACAAGACATAGAATCTCTCCGCGGGCGAGATGAAGTACTTTTGGATTTCAAAGACACTTCACAACCCATCAAAAGATATTTAAAGGCAAAAACTTTAGTAAAAAGAGAATTATTCCACTAAAAAGCCTCCAAATTTTTTTTGCAAGGAGAGCTGGTTAAAAATCTGAATATTTTTAATATTTTTTTTGACCAACCTCAATTTTTTAATATTAAAACCACCAAACTGAAAAGCCTACAAAAAGCTGACCAACGGACGAAGTGAGTTTTGCGCCCAACATTAATTATTTAATTGTTTTCTGTAATAACGTTGTTATGTATTTATTCAAACATTAAATCAAATAAAAGAATACCTAGTCTATAATTTTTGTTAGAAAACACAATCATTGACCCTATATTTTTTTCGGGTTCTATTTTTAATCTTTGTAATTTGTTTAATATTTTTATTCTTATAATCTCTGAAATTTAACATTGTTAGATATATAAAGGACAAATATCATCTAATTTTATTCAAATTATAATGATTGAAAATATTGGAAAACATTTTGGCCACACAAAAAACAAGAAGAAAATATTGAAAAACGAACAACACTTAACTTAATCTGCAAGAGGTTGTGTTAGAAAAAAATTATAAAGATAAGAAAAGCAAAATCAATAAAATTATTGAGATTAATTATTTTTTTGAAAAATTAATATTTTATCTTTTAACCTTCAACTTATTTATAACTCAATTCTTAACTATAATTTATTATGACTTAATTTCTTAACTATAACTCGTTAGGATTCAATTTCTTAATTTTTGAGTCACTTATAACCTGATCTTTATTTTTTTAATTTTTTTTAAAAATTATTCTTTTCAAATAAGAGGGATAAAAGAAATATTATATTTTAATTTAAAATATACTTCTCTTACTCTTTGATGTGAGATCTAAATTAATTTTAAAAAAAGAACTAATAAAAATTGAGGGAATAAATTATAAATAAATTAAAATTTTAAAAATTAAATTATAAATAAATTAAAAGTTGAAAGATTGGATCATAATAAATTATAATTGAGGCTGATTTATAAATGAATTAAAAATTTAAAAATTAAAAGATTAATTCTCTCTCTTTTTAATATGCAAAAAACCGATTAATATATAATTTTTTTTTCTCCCGTAAAATGGAGACAGAAACGAGGGACCTTCTCTTTTGTTGTGTTCATTCCCTGGCGAGGCGAACACTGGTTGGCACTGTGCACTGTGATGTCCAAGATCCGTTCTTCCTCGTCGCGCACTATGAAGCAGATGGCAGTGAACGGCGACGCACCATATCTTCCCCAAGACATCATCAGAAGCATTCTCAAATGCCTTCCGGTAAAATACCTAATTCGATGTCGATGTGTCTGCAAAAACTGGAAAAATCTGTTGAAGACCCCATCTTTCATTGTTGACCATATCCGCCACTCCAATATTCAAAACTCTTCTCTCCTTTTAGGAGGGGCTAGACCATTCTCGTACTTGTGTTTTCTCGATCAAAGGATGCGAGTTCAAGAAGCTCAAAACGCACCTCTAATCGGTTTCTTGTTGGGTGTTAGTATCATCGGTTGCTGCAATGGCTTGCTCTGTTTCCAACCCAATAATGCATCCATTTTCATATGGAATCCAGCTACTAGAGAGGTCAGAAAGGCGTTAGTAGCTGTTGATATTTCTTTGCGTGAGTCTTTCAAGATGGGATTTGGATTTAGTTCAATTGCTAATGATTACAAGATAGTGAGAATGCGTGTTTCTTTGAATAATGAACGGTTTATTCGTATGCAAGAGTGTAATTTATTTGCTAATCTGGTCGATCAAGTGCAAGTTTATTCATTAAGCACAGGATCATGGAGTGCAATAGAATTTGGGAACTTAGACGGTATATATCTTGTTTCAAATGGTTTCCCTGCAAATGGAGCTATCTTTTGGCTTGGGTTTATGCTAAATTCGGGGGAGAACGATGAAATTGTTGGGCATTTGATAGTTTCATTTGACGTCGCAACGGAAGTGTTTACTTTGATACCTTTACCTGCTTCAGTCCCTAGATCATATCGCAATAAGCTAACTGTGCACGAGAATAATCTTGCTCTGCTTTCTCACACTTTTATTGGAAACTATGAATCTTCTTTGATTGATTTGTGGGTGATGAATGAGGGTACAGGTGCATCCGGAGGAAGATGGAATTGGACTAAGAAATATAGTACCAGCCCTTACCCATGCATTTTAATTCCAGGGACTATTTGGAGGAATGAAATTGTCTGCCATTCTGTTGCATGGCACATTAATGCAGCTGAACGTGAAGGGAGGAATGGTGAACAAAATATTTTTCTGGTCAATCTCAGTACTAATGAAGTCAAGACTTTTGCTATCTCCAGAAACAGCATGAGTCATGATATTTTCAATTATGTGGAAAGCCTTGCACCGGTTGGCAACAACCACATAGAAGAGATTTGATCTTGGATCTTAATTTTTACATTGCAGATTTTCTTTAAGTTGGTTTGCTGGAAAGGAACCTGTGACAGTGAAGATCATTTTGTACCTTTGAGGGTTGAGATTTTATATAGAATGGTAAATTGGTAAGTGCATGTGTTTAATACTAGATGTTTGTAACTTTCTTTGACCTGCCTATCTATAATATCATGTTGTAAAGTTTTCTTTCAGAGATGGATATGTAATTTAGCTGATGATTTGTGGATTATTGGGGACTTTTTATCTTGGTAATTTAGTTGTCCAGGTAAGATGGATATATAACCATTGGAAATGGATGCATTTTTCAGGTATTATGTGTTTTGATTGAATGATAATCCTTCTATATTTGAGGATGCCATTTTTGTTTGTATCTCACTGTCTGTTTTCTGACAAGTAAGATGTAATATTTGCGCTTATTATTGTACTGCTAGGAAAGCTGGAAAGGGGTCATTTTTCAGAAACTGCAGTTGCTCATCTCATGCAACTTCCAGTCTTAAGTGCGAGACATTGTCTCTCAATGAGGGGATGCAGATGACTCTAGATTTGAGATTTGATTAGGATGTGTTTGAGTCTAATTGTTAGCTTTTGGTTAACTTTCTGGTTCATGGGGTAGCTTGTCCTGAATGGCGCTGCAGTGCTTTCTTGGAACCGTAGCTTTGTATGGGTGCTGAGATAGGTGAATCTTGCAACAGATTGACTTTCCAAGAAATCTTTAATTAAGGTAAGGCCTTTTGGATGGGATTCTAATCCCCCCACCTGCTTTGGCTGTTATCCCTAGTGTTGAAGCTGGGAGGTGGAGTGTTGGGGTTTCCTTTGGTTTATTTTTGTTTGATGTTTAGCTTTTTTTTTTTTTTTTCCTTGCTGTTGCTTTGTTTTACTGTAAATGTTGTTTTGTTGGTGTTTAATGTGGGGATCATTTTTTTCCCAAAAGAGGAAAAATGTAATATCTTAACAAGTAATATCATTAATATTAACTGCTGGGACTTGCAAACTGAGTCATAAAAGAGTAGTTAAGAATTAATTTTTAGGTTTTCCTCCTAATGTTCAAGATTCCTTCAAGCACCAGTCAAACAAAGGCATGTTTGTTTGGTACTTGAACTGGTCCCTTTTTTTAAAAGAAGTAAGAGTTTTTTTTTGGTTTGGTTTGCTCCCAATGTTTTATAACAGATTATCGAACCGGTTTGGTTTTAAGATTGTGCAACCTGTCTTGACGAATGAATTGAACGAGTTTCCCCTTTTCAATTCATCTCTGGTGGAGAAATGAATTGAATACATTACGTGCAAGTAGTTTTCCTCTTACTATGTTTGTGCATTTGGATATTTGGTCGATTAGAAGATTAGAACAGTATTTGATAAGAGTTTTTTGGTGAAGTTCACAGCACCAAACCCCTTTTCATCTGCTTGTTGAATCTCATTTTTTGTAGCATTTTTACATTTTACTCTTACCTTCTTGGGTAATTTTTTTTTTTTTTTTGTTCATCCTTCCAATTTCTTATTTCCCACTTTTTTATTTCATTTTCCTCTCATCCTTTCATGTTTACCAAAACAATTTTTTCATTTCGCCTATGATAATGTCTTTTTTCCTTCAATCTCTATGAAAAAGATGATAGTAGGCGGCAAAGATCATCTTTCATCTATCCCACATCTTACTGTGTGTTCTCGAAAATAAGATCCCTTGCAGATTTCAATCCAAGGTGCACAGATTGAAAGGAAAAAATCTTATCAACACGCCGTCTTTCATCAAGGATCGATTGCTTCTATTCCATACAGACTTGACTCTTTTGTTTAGTGTGATACATTTCTTCAGATATTTCCTGTTATGATTGAATGAAGATGTTATAACTGAGCTAATGACAGTACTGCTGAGAAAGCTGGAACCGGGGGCCCTTTTTTTTTTTTTTTCAACCCCCCAGAAACACTGGGAATGAGGTCATGAATTGTGTAGTTGCTCTTCTGATGCAACTACTGTATTCCTTCAAGTGTAAGGCTTTGAATCCTAGGAAGGGGATGATGAAGATGGCTCTAGGCTAAGAATTTGATCAGGCTGTGTTGACTCTGATTGTTAGCTCCAGATTCTGTTCTGTGGTTTCTGGTGTAGCTTGTCCTGAATGGCATTGAAGTGCTGTCTTGAAGGATATTGTGCTCTACAATAATGTTATTCTTAATATTTCTACAATCAATATCCGTGCTTATTTATTCATATCTATTTTTTTAGTGATGTTGGATTAACATTCAAAATGCATTACACATTACACAAATAAAACGTAATTTTTTTTTTTGGAAGAGTTTGACCCTTTAAATTTATAGTAGAAACACTTGCTTACTATGTTTTTTCGTAATTTTTGCATAGTACTTACCAAATTTCTACATGATGAATTAGAGTTGATATTGTAAATGTTGTTATATCATAGATATTTTAAGGAAGAGTGTCAGCATAATGCATTGATTTACAATTACAATATTGTATTTATGGATATAGCTTGCAAAAAAGAAGTTTGGAGACCATATACATTTTAGCTCTAGTGTTCTAAGTTGTCCAAAATCCATTCAATATTTGGTGTAAACTTGCAAAATGATTGTTGAAAAATGGGAGAATATGATAAACACGATTGTGGAGAACTTTGACCGATGCCAATCAAAGTTTACGAGCAATATCCCATTCTACAATTCAGGTCCATAGAACAAAAATTTAAAAAATGCGAGTCCTGTAATATTTTAGGATTTTTAGTAAATGATGATAACTAGCATTTTATACGGTATTCTCATTAATTATTTAATTGATTTCTATAAATACATTATTATGTTTTCAAACTTATAATCAAATGAGGAATATTTAGTTCGGAAAATGATAAATAAATCCCCTCTAAGTAAGCAAATGATATAATTGTAATATAAAATTGGATAATTTTTTTAATTTTTAGGAACTATATATATATATATATATTACATGATTTCTTTATTATTATTTCCACTCTTTATATAATTAATGATTCGTAGCATTAATGATATGCTTGACCAAAGAGAAAAGTGAGAAGAAAATAACATTTTCTCCTACTTGATTATGGATAGAAAAATGAGAAAAATAACATATAATATTTATATATTTTTACCTTTAATTTTTTTCTATAAATATGAAAAGATTTTGGAGAGAAAATTTTATTTTTAAATTTATCCATCAATTTTCAATTTTATATATGTAGTGTAGTTACATTTTGATTATAGACTTTTGTTAAACATGAAGTATATTCAATTTTTAGATTAATTAGACAAATGCTAATTTTAAATTTTTAGTTAAATTTCTTATATTTGGTTGTGGATTCAAAATTTTAAGATTATTATATATTTAATAATTTAATAAATAAAATTATAAATTGGATAAAATAATTTTTGTTCAGTATTAGATAAAATAATTTGTAATTATGTTTTTTATTCAATCAATAATATATGATAGAATTTACACATACGTGTCAAAATATTAAATTTTATTATATATAAATATTTTTATAAATAATAAGGTTATTATTGTTCATATAAAATTAACAATTTTTCTCTCCTCCTTGTTTTCTCTTATTTAGCCAAGTAATAGAAGAAAATTGCATCCCTTCATTTTTTTCTTTTATCTTCATTTTGGCTCCTTACTTTTTCCTTGTAAGCCAAGCACAACATAAAGAAAGGAAAAATAAAAATTGAGATATTAAGGGCTTGTTTGAACTATTTTTATTTTTTATTATGAGAACTGGTATTTTGTAGAATATTTTCTGAGAAAAAATAAAAATATGTGTTTTATGTATTCTTTTTTGTTCTCTAGACTAATAATCTCAAAATACCTAAAAAATATTTTCATTTTTCTATTCTTTATGTTATATTTGTTTTTGTTTTTTTAAATATTTTTTAAAAACACATTACCAAACATATTTTTTTATTCTAGAGAATAAAAAAATATTTCTAGAACAAGTCGTCAAACAAGCCCTAGTTATCTAATGTTTCTTTCTTTCTTTATTTTTTTTTTGAAGTATATATGAAGTAAAAAGTTTTGACCTTATATTTGATTCATTATCTGTTTGATTTGTTCGTAAATGTTTTCATTAAGCATATTTAAGAGTAAATCTCCAAATACATGCTTTTTTGCTGATGATATAGTTCTTATTGTAGAGATAAAATAAAAAATTAATTATAAACTTGAGTTATAAAAAAAGGCATTAGAGTCAAAAGGTTTTGGCCTGAGTAAGAGTAAAACGAAATTTGCATTATAATTTTGATAAAAGATTAGTCAGTATTGATTTGAAAATAAAATTAGAAATCAAATTATACCTCAAATAAAAAAAATTTAGATATTTGAGAGTTATTATTCAACATAATGAAAAAATTAATGAAATTGTTGCACATGGGATACAAGTTAGTGGTTTAATTAGAGAAATGATAAATGATTTATTTGTGATCGAAAAGTATCTAATAAACTTAAAGAAAAATTTATCAAACTGTCATAAGACCAGCTATATTATATGATATTGAATGTTAAGCTTTAATAGGATAACAAGAGTATAAAAGTTAGAGTAATATATATGAGAATGTTGATATAGATGTGTGAGCATCTATTGAAGGACAATGATAGAAAATCATTTCAAACTGTGGAGGTACCGGTGAGAAGAGTAGAATAAATAGTTTTAAGCCTTGTTAAGAAAAATAAAGAAAAGCCAAAAAGAATACTTCTTTTTAGAAATTAATTTAGAAATTAATCTCTCATCTTCATAGGTCATCTTTCCTTGTGAATCTTTGACAAAATGTCCTTCAACGTGAAAATAACAAAATACTTCTTTTGCTGAAGTACTTGCCATATGGGAAATAAACTTATAACAACTAGAAGCAATACACAAATTTATTACTTCATAACTATCCGTTTCGTAATCCCAACCACAACTACAACAATTTAGCATCTATGTTGCATTTTTTAATATTAACATACTTTTCATCACAAAACAGAAAAATTTAGCATCCATTTACGTCTTTCTCATTTTTCACTCAATTTTTAATACTATCATTCTCAAAAATTATTTATTGTGTGTTTCTATATATATAATCTATTAATCATTAAGAATACTACTTTTTTCTTAACTATAAAAGAGAAACGATGTAAGACAACATTTACAAGATCTAAAAATTCTTCTGCGCATGCATGACAAAGGGAATGTTAAAAATAGAGAAGGAGGGATTGCATATTTTTTTGGGGTGCATGGTAGAGGGAAAGATGTAAAAGAAGAAATCATGTAATTACCCATTATCAAGAGAGGAGAAGATGATGACCTAGATGATGATCCACTCAACTAATTTTTCGCGCGTGAGAGCATATTTTTCTTACCCAAAAACAAGAACAGAGAATGCAGATAAGCTGTTTTGCTGCTTCTTTTTAGTGTTTAGGGAAAGGGTAATTTTGTAATATGTTAACTCCATTATATACTCCCTTTAAACCATTATATGACGTTTTTCAGAAGTCTTACTTGATCCAAAATATAAGATATTAATAGAGTTGGAAATATGAACTAACCTAGATCATATGAGATGACCGATATGTGTTGAGAATAATATATGTTATATTGGATTCAATCCATTTCTGTATGGGTTGGAATAATTTCAACCCAACCCTTTGTAGCTTGATGGGTTAAACGGTCCAATCTACCAATTCATTTATTATTTTTTTCATAATTTTTTTAAAAATACTTAAATGAGAAATTTTAGTATGACATTTCATACAATTTTAACCAAAAAAAAAATTACAAGCATTGTGAGTTCTATAAGTTCTAGTATGATATTTCATAAAATGAAAGCAAGAAGATAGGAAAAATTGATACGTTGTGAGTTTTATAAGTCAAAAAATAAACAGTGTTTGGTCAAATTTGATGAGAATATGCTAGATGATCCATTTTTTATAGTAGATGCTCGAAAAATAATTCA